TGGAGCATCTACAGGATCTGGAACAGGATCTGGAACATCCACAGGGTCTGGAACAGGGTCTGGAACAGCCACAGGGTCTGGAATAGGGTCTGGAGACTCCACAGGCTCTGGAACAGGCTCTGGAGTGGCCACAGGATCTGGAAAAGGGTCTGAGAGCATCCACAGGTCTGGAATGGGGTCTGGAATGGCCACAGGGTCTGGAACAGGCTCTGGAACATCCTCAAGGTCTGGGATGGGGTTTGGAGAGTCCAAAGGGTCTGGGACAGGGTCTGGAGCATCCAGAGGCTCTGGAGTACCCATGGGTCTGGAAGAGGGTCTGGAACATCCTCAAGGTCTGGAATGGGATCTGAAGCACCCACAGGGTCTGGAACAGGGTCTGGAACAGGGTCTGGAGCATCTACAGGGTCTGGAACGGGGTCTGAAGTGTCCTCAAGGTCTGGGATGGGGTTTGGAGAATCCATGGGATCTGGAACAGGGTCTGGAGCATCCAGAGGCTCTGGAGCACCCATGGGTCTGGAAGAGGGTCTGGAACATCCTCAGGGTCTGGAACAGGGTCTGGTGTGGCCACAGGATCTGGAAAAGGGTCTGAGAGCATCCACAGGTCTGGAATGGGGTCTGGAGTGGCCACAGGGTCTGGAACAGGGTCTGGAACATCCTCAAGGTCTGGAGTGGGTTCTGGAGCATCCACAGGGTCTGGAAAAGAGTCTGGAACAGCCACCGGGTCTGGGAGAGGATCTGGAGACTCCACAGGTTCTGGAGCATCCCCAGGCTCTGGAGCAGGCTCTGGAGAATCCCCAGGATCTGGAAGAGTCTCTGGAGAATCCATGGGCTCTGGAGCATCCATGGGTCTGGAACAGGCTCTGGAGAATCCATGGGATCTGGAAGAGTCTCTGGAGCATCCCCAGGCTCTGGAAAAGGGCCTGGAACAGCCACCAGGTCTGGAACAGGCTCTGGAGAATCCATGGGATCTGGAAGAGTCTCTGGAGCATCCCCAGGCTCTGGAAAAGGGCCTGGAACAGCCACCAGGTCTGGAACAGGCTCTGGAGAATCCATGGGATCTGGAAGAGTCTCTGGAGTATGCACAGGGTCTGGAACAGGTTCTGGAGCATCCATGGGTCTGGAAGAGTCTCTGGAGCATCCAGAGAATCTGGAGCAGGTTCTGGAACAGCAACAGGCTCTGGGAAAAGGTCTGGAGAATCCACAGGGTCTGGAACAGGGTGTGAAACAGCCACCAGGTCTGGAAGAGGCTCTGGAGAATCCATGGGATCTGGAAGAGTCTCTGGAGTATGCACAGGGTCTGGAACAGGTTCTGGAGCATCCATGGGTCTGGAAGAGTCTCTGGAGCATCCAGAGAATCTGGAGCAGGTTCTGGAACAGCAACAGGCTCTGGGAAAAGGTCTGGAGAATCCACAGGGTCTGGAACAGGGTGTGAAACAGCCACCAGGTCTGGAAGAGGCTCTGGAGAATCCACAGGCTCTGGAACAGGCTCTGGAGCATCTCCAGGCTCTGGAGTGGCTTCTGGAGCATCCATGGGTCTGGAACAGGGTCTGGGGAATCCATGGGCTCTGGAGCATCCATGGGATCTGGAGCCGGTTCTGGAACAGCAACAGGCTCTGGAAAAGGTCTGGAGAATCCACAGGCTCTGGAGCATCCACAGGGTCTGAAACAGGTCGTAAATTAAAAATGGAGCCGTTTTTAAAGGGTCTGGAATTAAAAATGGGTCTGAAATTCAAGGTAACCGGTTTTTAAAGGGTCTAGAATTAAAAATGGACCCGTTTTTAAAAGATCTTAAATTAAAAATGGACCCGTTTTTTAAAAGGTCCGGAATTAAAATTGAGTCTGAAATTAAAGATGGACCCGCTCTGGGCAGTGGGTGAGGGGGGGGTCTCTGTAAGACTTGGGGGTCTCCAAATCCCTGGGGATGAATTGGGGGTCTCTCTTAGACTTGGGGGTCTCCAAACCCCTGGGGATGAATTGGGGGTCTTTGTTGCACTTGGGGGTCTCCAAACCCCTGGGGATGGAGGGGGGGTCTCCAAAGCCCTGGGGGTCTCTCTTGCATTTGGGGGTCTCTAAATCCATGGGGATGGGATTGGGGGTCTCCAAACCCCTGGGGATGGAGGGTGGGGGTCTCTGTTAGACTTGGGGGTCTCCAAAACCCTGGAGATGAATTGGGGGGGTCTTTGTTAGACTTGGGGGGGGGTCTTTGTTAGACTTGGGGGTCTTCAAACCCCTGGGAATGGGATTGGGGGTCTCCAAACCCTTGGGGATGAAGGGGGGGGGTCTCTGTGACACTTGGGGGTCTCCAAACCCCTGGGGATGAATTGGGGGGGGGGATGTCTTTGTTAGAATTGGGGGTCTCCAAACCTCTGGGAATGGGATTGGGGGTCTCTGTTACATTTGGGGGTCTCCAAACCCTTGGGGATGGGATTGGGGGTCTCCAAACCCTGGGGATGAATTGGGGAGGGGTCTCTGTTAAGACTTGGGGGTCTCCAACCCCCTGGGGATGAAGGGTGGGGGTCTCTGTTAGACTTGGGGGTCTTCAAACCCCTGGGGATGGGATTGGGGGTCTCTGTTACATTTGGGGGTCTCCAAACCCTTGGGGATGGAGATGGGGGGGGTCTTCAAAGCCCGGGGGGTGAAGAGTGGGGGTCTCTGTTAGAGTTGGGGGTCTCCAAACCCCTGGGAATAAAGGGTGGGGGTCTCTCTTACATTTGGGGGTCTCCAACCCCCTGGGGATGAATTGGGGGGGTCTCTGTTAAGACTTGGGGTCTCCAAGGCCTTGGGGATGGAGGGGGTCTCCAAACCCCTGGGGATGAATTGGGGGGGTCTCCGTTAGACTTGGGGGTCTCCAAACCCTGGGGTTGAAGGGTGGGGGTCTCTCTTACATTTGGGGGTCTCCAAACCTCTGGGGATGGATTGGGGGTCTCCAAACCCCTGGGAATAAAGGGGGTCTTTGTTAGACTTGGGGGTCTCCAAACCCTGGGAATGAACGGTGGGGGTCTCTGTAAGAGTTGGGGTCTCCAAACCCTGGGGATGAATTGGGGGTCTCTGTAAGACTTGGGGGTCTCCAAACCCCTGAGGGTGAGGGTTAGGGGGGTCTTTGTTAGACATGGGGGTCTCCAACCCTCTGGGGATGGAGATGGGGGGTCTCCAAACCCCTGAGGGTGAAGGGTGGGGGTCTCTGTTACACTTGGGGGTCTCCAAGGCCTTGGGGATGGGATTGGGGGTCTCCAAACCCCTGGGAATAAAGGGGGGGGGGTCTCTCTTACACTTGGGGGTCTCCAAGGCCTTGGGAATGGGATTGGGGGTCTCTGTTAAGACTTGGGAGTCTCCAAACCCCTGAGGTTGAATTGGGGTCTCTGTGAGTTGGGGGTCCCAAAGCCCTGGGGATGGATGGGGTCTGCAAACCCCTGGGGATGAATTGAGGGGGTCTTTGTTAGAGTTGGGGGTCTCCAAACCCCTGGGAATGGGATTGGGGGGTCTTCAAACCCCTGAGGGTGAAGGGTGAGGGTCTCTGTGACACTTGGGGGTCTCCAAACCCCTGGGGATGAATTGGGGGTCTTTGTTAGACATGGGGGTCTCCAACACCCTGGGGATGGGGGTCTCCAAAGCCCTGAGGGTGAGGGTTGGGGGTCTCTGTTAGACTTAGGGGTCTCCAAGGCCTTGGGGATGGGATTGGGGGTCTCCAAACCCCTGGGAATAAAGGGGGGGTCTTTGTTAGACTTGGGGGTCTCCAAAGCCCTGGGGATGAGTTGGGGGGTCTCTATAAGAGTTGGGGGTCTCCAAACCCCTGGGGATGGAAGGGGGTCTCCAAACCCCTGGGAATAAAGGGGGTGTCTCTGTTAGACTTGGGGGTCTCCAACCCCCTGGGGATGGGTGGGGAGGGGTCTCCACGGTTGCCATGGTGACCGCGCGGGGTCCCCGCTGTCCAGCAATGCGGGGGAGGGGAGGGGTCTCCACTTCCATGGGGTGATGAATTTGGGGGTGTGTGTGTGTGTGGGGGTCTCTCCTGCCCGATCGGTCCTGGATCGGTCCCGGATCGATCCCAAGGCCACACCGGGGGTCCCGGCTCGGTCCCGTGGAGGGTGGGGGTGGGTGGGGGTGGGTGGGGAGGTCCTGGGGAGGGTCCTGCATCGTTCCCGTGGTGGGTGCGGGGTGGGGAGGTCCCGGGAGGTCCCGGAGCGGGCTGGGGTGGGTGGGGGAGGTCCTGGTGGTCCCGTGGGAGGGTGGGGTGGGTGGGGGCGGTCCCGGGGCGGTCCCCGCGTCGTTCCAGTGACCGGTCCCCGTGATCGGTCCCGTGGAAGGTGGGGGTGGGTTGGGGTGGGTGAGGGAGGTCCCGGGGCGGATCCCGTGGAGGGTGGGGAGGTCCCGGGCGGGTCCCGCATCGTTCCCGTGGGGTTGCAGGGTGGGTCCCGTGGTGGGTGGGGGTGGTTTGGGGTGGGTGGGAGGTCCCGGGGCGGTCCCGGGGCGGATCCCACGTCGTTCCCGTGACCGGTCCCGTGATCGGTCCCGTGGAGGGTTGGGGTGGGTGGGAGGTCCCGGCTCCGGTCCCGTGGTGTGTTAGGGTTGGGTGGGGGCGGTCCCAGGGCGGTCTCAGGGCGGATCCCGTCGTGGGTTGGGGGTGGGTGTGGGGAGGTCCCAGGGGGAGGTCCTGGGGCCGGTCCCAGGGCGGATCCCGTGGAGGGTGGGGAGTGAGGTTTGGGGTGGGTGGGGGGCGGTCCCAGGAGGCGGGTCCGGGGTCGGGGTGTTTGGGGTGGGTGGGAGGTCCCGGGGCGGGTCCCGCGTCGTTCCCGTGACCGGTCCCGTGACCGGTCCCGTGGCCACCCCGGGGCGGGATGCTAGGCGTGGGTTCCGCCTCAGCCCCGCGGTCGGTGCGGGGCGGTCCCGCATCAGACCCCGCTCGGTGCCCCCGGGTCCGTCCCGGGTCCATCCCGGACCTGTCCCGGGTCCATCCCGGGTCCATCCCGGGTCCATTCCGGGCCCATCCCGGGTCCATCCCGGGTCCATCCCGGGTGTGTCCCGGGTCCATCCCGGGTCCATCCCGGGTCCATCCCGGGTCCATCCCGGGTCCGTCCCGGGTCCATCCCGGGCCCATCCCGGGTCCATCCCGGGCCCGTCCCGGTGTCCCCATGGCGGGGCTGGCGCTGCTGGTGGCGCTGCTGGCGGCGTTGGTGGCACCGGCAGGGACCGAGGGGGACAGGAAGGTGAGAGGGGTTTGGGGGGACACCCGGGGGACCGGCTGTGGGATCGGGATGGGATTGATGGGATTGATGGGATACAGGGATGGGATGGGATTGATGGGATGGGATGGGATGGGATGGGATGGGATTGATGGGATGGGATGGGATGGGATTGATGGGATGGGATGGGATGGGATGGGATGGGAAGGGGACGTGGGTTGGGAAGGGCTGTGGGGTGGAGGGGCAAACAGGGAACTCCAGGCACTTCCAGAGGGATGAACAGGGAACTCCAGGCACTTCCAGAGGGATGAACAGGGAACTCCAGGCACTTCCAGAGGGGCCAAAGGGAATTCCAGGCACTTCCAGAGGGGGAAACAGGGAATTCCAGGCACTTCCAGAGCAGAAAACAGGGAATTCCAGCTACTCCCAGTGGGGGATGGAGGGGGAAACGGGGAATTCCAGGCACTTCCAGAGAGGAATGGAGGGGCAAACAGGGAACTCCAGGCACTTCCAGAAGGGGAAACAGGGAACTCCAGGCACTTCCAGGGGGATGAACAGGGAACTCCAGGCACTCCCAGAGGGGGAAACAGGGAACTCCAGGCACTTCCAGAGGGGGAAACAGGGAACTCCAGGCACTTCCAGGGGGGGAAACAGGGGATTCCTGGTTATTCTAGAAGGGGAAACAGGGAACTCCAGGCACTTCCATAGGGATGAACAGGGAACTCCAGGCACTTCCAGAGGGATGAACAGGGAACTCCAGGCACTTCCATAGGGGGGAACAGGGAACTCCAGGCACTTCCAGAGGGATGAACAGGGAACTCCAGGCACTTCCATAGGGATGAACAGGGAACTCCAGGCACTCCCAGTGGGGGATGGAGGGGCAAACAGGGAATTCCAGGCACTTCCAGAGGGGGCCGAAGGGAATTCCAGGCACTTCCAGAGGGACAAAGAGGGAACTCCAGGCACTCCCAGAGGGGCAAAGAGGGAACTCCAGGCACTTCCAGAGGGGCAAACAGAGAATTCCAGGCATTTCCAGAGGGGCAAACAGGGAACTCCAGGCACTTCCAGAGGGGGAAACAGGGAACTCCAGGCACTTCCAGAGGGATGAACAGGGAACTCCAGGCACTTCCAGAGGGGCAAACAGGGAACTCCAGGCACTTCCAGAGGGGCAAACAGGGAACTCCAGGCACTTCCAGGGGGATGAACAGGGAACTCCAGGCACTTCCAGAGGGGCAAACAGGGAACTCCAGGCACTTCCAGAGGGGGGAAACAGGGAACTCCAGGCACTTCCAGAGGGATGAACAGGGAACTCCAGGCACTTCCAGAGGGATGAACAGGGAACTCCAGGCACTTCCAGAGGGATGAACAGGGAACTCCAGGCACTCCCAGAGGGGGAAACAGGAAACTCCAGGCACTTCAGAGGGGCAAAGAGAGAATTCCAGCTACTCCCAGTGGGGGATGGAGGGGGAAACAGGGAATTCCAGGCACTTCCAGAGGGATGAACAGGGAACTCCAGGCACTTCCAGAGGGATGAACAGGGAACTCCAGGCACTTCCAGGGGGCAAACAGGGAATTCCAGGCAATTCCAGAGGGGGAAACAGGAAACTCCAGGCACTTCCAGAGGGATGAACAGGGAACTCCAGGCACTTCCAGGGGTTTTGGGAGGGAGAAGGAGTCAGTCCCACCCTGGAATTGCAGCTGGATCCCCCCTCAGGTGTCCCTGGAGTTCAATCCGGGCTGGAACGGCTCCTCGGTGAACGTCCTGCACGTGCGTGCCGAGGGCCCGGGGGACACCCTGCACTTCGTGTGGGGCAGCCTGGGGGCCCCCTCCGTGCTCCTCGTGGCCTCCCGGAGCCCCCAGAGCCGCCTGGACATCGACTGGCCCCGCCTGCTGTCCCCCAGCCCCGAGGGGGCCCTGAGGATCCTCCCCCCCGGCAGCGTCTCCTACGCCGGCGCCGTCGTCTTCACCAGGGTTTGTTTGGGGGGGGAGGCCCCGGATCGAGCCCTGAAATGGGCTGAAATCACCCCAAAACGGCCGGAAAGCGCCCCAAAATGGCCTGAAATTGCCCCAAAGTGGCCTGAAATTGCCACAAAATGGCCGGAAAGCGCCACAAAATGGCCTGAAATCACCCCGAAACGGCCGGAAAGCGCCCCAAACTTGTCCTAAATCGTCCCCCAAAACTGTCCTAAATCACCCCAAACCTGCCCGAAATCGTCCCCCCAAATCTACCTGAAATCGGCCCCCAAATCTACCTGAAATTGCCCCCCAAACCTGCCCCAAATCGCCCCTCAAAACTGCCTGAAATCACCCCAAACCTGCCCAAAATTGTCCCCCAAATCAGCCCTAAATCACCCCCCGACCTGCCAAAAATTGCCCCCCAAACTTGTCCTAAATCACCCCAAACCTGCCCAAAATCACCCCCCAAATCTGCCCCAAATCGCCCTAAACCTGCTAAAAATCGCCCCTCAAATCTACCTGAAATTGCCCCCTAAACCTGCCCAAAATCGGCCCCCAAACTTGTCCTAAATCACCCCAAACCTGCCCGAAATTGTCCCTCAAATCTGCCCAAAACTGCTCCCCAAACGTGCCCTAAATTGCCCCCCAAATCTACCTGAAATTGCCCCCTAAAACTGTCCTAAATCACCCCCCAAAACTGCCCCAAATCGTCCCCCAAATCTGCCTTAAATCAACCCCCAAATCTACCTGAAATTGCCCCCCAAACCTGCCCAAAATCACCCCAAACTTGTCCTAAATCACCCCAAACCTGCCTGAAATTGTCCCTCAAATCTGCCCAAAACTGCCCCCCAAACCTTCCCTAAATCGCCCCCCAAATCTACCTGAAATTGCCCCCAAATCTACCTGAAATTACCCCCAAAACTGTCCTAAATCACCCCCAAAACTGCCCCAAATCGCCCCCCAAACCTGCCTGAAATTGCCCCCTAAAACTGCCCAAAATCGGCCCCCAAATCTGCCCGAAATTGCCCCTCAAAACTGCCTGAAATCACCCCAAAGTTGTCCTAAATCACCCCCAGACCTGCCTGAAATTATCCCCCAAAGTTGTCCTAAATCACCCTAAACCTGCCCGAAAACGCCCCCAAATCTGCCCTAAATCACCCCCCAGACCTGCCTGAAATTGTCCCCCCAAACTTGTCCTAAATCACCCCAAACCTGCCCGAAATTGCCCCCCAAACCTGCCCGAAATCACCCCAAACCTGCCCAAAATTGTCCCTCAAATCTGCCCAAAACTGCCCCCCAAACCTTCCCTAAATCGCCCCCCAAATCTACCTGAAATTGCCCCCCAAACTTGCCCTAAATCCCCCCAAACCTGCCCAAAATTGTCCCTCAAATTTGCCCAAAACTGCCCCCCAAACCTGCCCTAAATTGCCCCCCAAATCTACCTGAAATTGCCCCCTAAAACTGACCAAAATTGCTCCCCAAAACTGCCTGAAATCACCCCAAACTTGTCCTAAATCACCCCAAACTGTCCGTCAAATCTGTCTGAAATTGCCCCCCAAAACTGCCCAAAATCAGCCCCCAAACCTGCCCTAAATCAGCCCCCAAACCTGCCCTAAATCACCCCAAACCTGTCCTAAATCGCCCCCAAAACTGTCCTAAATCGTCCCCCAAATCTGCCCTAAATCAACCCCCAGACCTGCCTGAAATTGTCCCCCAAAACTGCCCTAAATCACCCCAAACTTGTCCTAAATCACCCCCCCAAAACTGTCCTAAATCACCCCAAAACTGCCTGAAATCATCCCGGAAATTGCCATAAATCAGACCCCAAACCTGCCTGAAATCACCCCCCAAACCTGCCTGAAATCACCCCCCAGATCTACCCTAAGTCAATCCCCAAATCTGCCCTAAATCACTCCCCAAATCTGCCCTAAATCACCCCAAACCTGCCCAAAATCATCCCTCAAACCTGCCCAAAATGATCCCTCAAACCTGCCCTAAATCGCCTCTCAAACCTGACTGAAATTGTCCCCCAAACCTGCCCTAAATTGCCCCCCAAACCTGCCCAAAATTGCCCCCCAAAATTGTCCAAAATCACCCCAAACTTGTCCTAAATCACCCCAAACCTGCCCCAAATCATCCCTCAAACCTGCCCTAAATCACCCCCCAGACCTGCCTGAAATTGTCCCCCAAAACTGCCCTAAATCACCCCAAAACTGACCAAAATTGCCCCACAAAACTGCCTGAAATCACCCTCCAAAACTGCCGTAAATCCCCCCAGACCTGCCCAAAATTGCCCCAAACCTTCTCTAAATCACCCCTCAAACCTGCCCAAAATCATCCCCGAAATCTGCCCTAAATCAGCCCCCAAACCTGCCCGAAATTGCCCCCCAAAACTGTCCTAAATTGCCCCCCAAACCTGCCCTAAATTGCCCCCCAAATCTACCTGAAATTGCCCCCCAAACCTGCCCTAAATCACCCCAAACCTGCCCCAAACCTGCCCTAAATCACCCCAAACCTGCCCTAAATCCCCCCAAACCTGCCCTAAATCCCCCCAAACCTCCCCCAAACCTTCCCTAAATCCCCCCAAACCTGCCCTAAATCACCCCAAACCTGCCCTAAATCACCCCAAACTCACCCTAAATCACCCTAAATCCCCCCAAACCTGCCCTAAAACGCTCCAAACCCCAAACCTTCCCTAAATCACCCCAAACCTGCCCCAAATCACCCCAAACCTGCCCTAAATCACCCCAAAACACCCCAAACCTGCCCTAAATCCCCCCAAACCTGCCCTAAATCCCCCCAAACTCACCCTAAATCACCCCAAATCACCCCAAACCTGCTCTAAATCCCCCCAAACCTGCTCCAAACTCGCTCTAAATCACCCCAAACCTGCCCTGAATCACACCAAACTTGCCCTAAATCCCCCCAAACCTGCCCCAAATCCCCCCAAATCTTCCCTAAATCCCCCCAAAACCGCCCCAAACTCCCCCCCTAAATAAAAACCCCGAAGTTTTGGGTGCCTGAGTTGGGATTTTTGGCCTCCTGCCCCGCAGCTGCTGGAGGAGAAGGCTCCCGGGGAGGGATTTTTCCCCCCGTACGACCTGTCGGGCTTTTCCTGGGAAGATTCCAACGCGACGCTGGAGCCGCGGGCGCTGCGGGGGCAGCTCCGGGGGGCGCCCGAACACGACCCTGGAGGAGCCTTCTCCAACGGCTCCATCGCATTCCAGGTGATCCTGGGGTGGGAATGGGATTGGGATGGGGATGGCAGGGAATTCCAGAGGGATTGGGATTGGGAATGGGGATGGGGATGGGAATGGGGATGGGAATGGGAATGGGGATGGGGATGGGAATGGGAATGGGAATGGGGATGGGAATGGGGATGGGGATGGGAATGGGAATGGGAATGGGAATGGGAATGGGAATGGGGATGGGAATGGGAATGGCAGGGAATGCCAGAGGGATTGGGAATGGGAATGGCAGGGAATTCCAGAGGGGAGCTGGGATTGGGAATGGGAATGGCAGGGAATTCCAGAGGGGAGCTGGGATTGGGAATGGGAATGGCAGGGAATTCCAGAGGGGAACTGGGAATGGGAATGGCAGGGAATCCCAGAGGGATTGGGAATGGGAATGGGAATGGCAGGGAGTTCCAGAGGGATTGGGAATGGGAATGGGAATGGGAATGGGAATGGGGATGGGAATGGCAGGGAATGCCAGAGGATTGGGAATGGGAATGGCAGGGAGTTCCAGAGGGATTGGGAATGGGAATGGGAATGGGAATGGGAATGGGAATGGGAATGGCAGGGAATGCCAGAGGGGAGCTGGGAATGGGAATGGGAGGGGATGCCAGAGGGGATTGGGAATGGGAATGGGAATGGGAATGGGAATGGGAATGGGAATGGGAATGGGAATGGGAATGGCAGGGAGTTCCAGGGGGATTGGGAATGGGAATGGCAGGGAATTCCAGAGGGGAGCTGGGATTGGGAATGGGAATGGCAGGGAGTTCCAGAAGGATTGAGAATGGGAATGGGAATGGCAGGGAATCCCAGAGGGATTGGGAATGGGAATGGGAATGGGAATGGGGATGGGAATGGGGAATGGGAATGGAAATGGGAATGGCAGGGAATGCCAGAGGGATTGGGAATGGGAATGGCAGGGAGTTCCAGAGGGATTGGGAATGGGAATGGGAATGGGAATGGGGATGGGAATGGGAATGGGAATGGCAGGGAATGCCAGAGGGGAGCTGGGAATGGGAATGGGAGGGGATGCCAGAGGGGATTGGGAATGGGAATGGCAGGGAATCCCAGAGGGATTGGGAATGGGAATGGGAATGGGAATGGGAATGGCAGGGAATCCCAGAGGGATTGGGAATGGGAATGGGAATGGGAATGGGAATGGGAATGGGAATGGGAATGGCAGGGAATGGGAATGGGAATGGGGATGGCAGGGAGTTCCAGAGGGATTGGGAATGGGAATGGCAGGGAATTCCAGAGGGGAGCTGGGAATGGCAGGGTGTGCCCTGACTCTGGGGGTCCCTCCCTGACTCTGATGTCCCCTGATTTTGGGATGTCCCCTGATTTTGGGATGTCCCCCTAGGTCACAGCATTCCCATCCTCTGGCCATGCTGGGGTCCCTCCCTGACTCTGTTGTCCCCTGATTTTGGGGTGTCCCCTGATTTTGGGATGTCCCCTGATTTTGGGGTGTCCCCTGATTTTAAGATATCCCCCCAGGTCACAGCATTCCCATCCCGGGGCCGTGCCGGTGTCCCTCACTGATTTTAGGATATCCCTTTAGGTCACAGCATTCCCATCCCTGGGCCGAGCCGGTGTCCCTCACTGATTTTGGGGTGTCCCTCACTGATTTTGGGATATCCCTTTAGGTCACAGCGTTCCCATCCCTGGGCCGAGCCGGTGTCCCTCACTGATTTTGGGGTGTCCCTCACTGATTTTGGGATATCCCTTTAGGTCACAGCGTTCCCATCCCTGGGCCGAGCCGATGTCCCCCCGGGGCTGATTTTGGAATGTCCCTCACTGATTTTAGGATATCCCTTTAGGTCACAGCGTTCCCATCCCGGGGCCGAGCCGATGTCCCCCCGGGCTGATTTTAGGATGTCCCCTGATTTTAGGATATCCCTTTAGGTGACAGCGTTCCCATCCCGGGGCTGATTTTAGGATATCCCCCCAGGTCACAGCGTTCCCATCCCGGGGCCGTGCCAGTGTTCCCTCGGGGCTGATTTTGGGATGTCCCTTTAGGTCACAGCATTCCCGTCCCGGGGCCGAGCCGATGTCCCCCCGGGGCTGATTTTGGGTGTCCCCTGATTTTAGGATATCCCTTTAGGTCACAGCGTTCCCATCCCGGGGCCGTGCCGATGTCCCCCCGGGGCTGATTTGGGATATCCCTTTAGGTCACAGCATTCCCATCCCGGGGCCGTGCCGATGTCCCCCGGGGCTGATTTTGGGATATCCCTTTAGGTCACAGCATTCCCATCCCGGGGCCGTGCCGATGTCCCCCGGGGCTGATTTGGGATATCCCTTTAGATCACAGCATTCCCATCCCGGGGCCGTGCCAGGGTTCCCCCGAGGCTGATTTTGGGATGTCCCCTGATTTTGGGATATCCCTTTAGGTCACAGCATTCCCATCCCTGGGCCGAGCCGATGTCCCCCCGGGGCTGATTTTGGGATGTCCCCTGATTTTGGGATGTCCCCTGATTTTGGGATGTCCCCTGATTTTGGGATATCCCTTTAGGTCACAGCATTCCCATCCCGGGGCCGAGCCGATGTTCCCCCGGGGCTGATTTTGGGATGTCCCCCCAGGTGACAGCATTCCCATCCTGGGGCTGATTTTAGGATATCCCTTTAGGTCACAGCATTCCCATCCCTGGGCCGAGCCGATGTCCCCCCGGGGCTGATTTTAGGATATCCCCTGATTTTGGGATGTCCCCTCAGGTCACAGCATTCCCGTCCCGGGGCCGTGCCGATGTCCCCCCGAGGCTGATTTTGGGGTGTCCCCTGATTTTAGGATATCCCTTTAGGTCACAGCATTCCCATCCTGGGGCTGATTTTAGGATATCCCTTTAGGTCACAGCATTCCCATCCCGGGGCCGAGCCGATGTCCCCCCGGGGCTGATTTTGGGATGTCCCCCCGGGGCTGATTTTGGGATGTCCCCTGATTTTAGGATATCCCTGTAGGTGACAGCATTCCCATCCCGGGGCCGTGCCGATGTCCCCCCGGGGCTGATTTGGGATATCCCTTTAGGTCACAGCATTCCCATCCCGGGGCTGATTTTGGGATATCCCTTTAGGTCACAGCATTCCCATCCTGGGGCTGATTTTAGGATATCCCTTTAGGTCACAGCATTCCCATCCTGGGGCCGTGCCGATGTCCCCCCGGGGCTGATTTTAGGATATCCCTTTAGGTCACAGCATTCCCATCCTGGGGCTGATTTTGGGATATCCCTTTAGGTCACAGCATTCCCATCCTGGGGCTGATTTTGGGATGTCCCCCCAGGTCACAGCGTTCCCATCCCGGGGCCGTGCCGATGTCCCCCCGGGGCTGATTTTGGGATATCCCTTTAGGTCACAGCATTCCCATCTGGGGGCCGTGCCGATGTCCCCCCGGGGCTGATTTTGGGATATCCCTTTAGGTCACAGCGTTCCCATCCCGGGGCCGTGCCGATGTCCCCCCGGGGCTGATTTTGGGATATCCCTGTAGGTCACAGCATTCCCATCCTGGGGCTGATTTTGGGATATCCCCTCAGGTCACAGCATTCCCGTCCCTGGGCCGAGCCGATGTCCCCCGGGGCTGCCCCGTGTTCCAGGGAGCTGTGGGCTGGAGCTGCTGCTGCAGGGGGTGGCTCCCCGTGGGAACAGCTCCCGATTCCTGCTCGAGCTGGCGGCGCTGGAGGCGCCGGGGGCGGCGCGGGCGCTGCGGCCACGGAGGGACCTCGACGATGAGTTCGCCCCTGGGGTGTTCCAGGTGAGCCCAGAGAGGAGAAACCCACACTGAGAGTTAAATCAATCAGAGAAATCCACACTGACAGTTAAATAGGGGCCAGAGAAATCCACACTGACACTGGAATAGGGGCCAGAGAAATCCACACTGACACCTAAATCAGAGAAATCCACACTGAGAGTTAAATCAATCAGAGAAATCCACACTGACAGTTAAATCAATCAGAGAAATCCACACTGACAGTTAAATCAGAGCCAGAGAAATCCACACTGACACCTAAATCAGAGAAATCCACACTGACACTGGAATAGGGGCCAGAGAAATCCACACTGACACTGGAATAGGGGCCAGAGAAATCCACACTGACACTGGAATAGGGGCCAGAGAAATCCACACTGACACCTAAATCAGAGAAATCCACACTGAGAGTTAAATCTTGGCCGGATAAATCCACACAAACACTCAAATCAGGGTCAGATAAATCCACACCAACACCTAAATGAGATAAATCCACACCAACACCTAAATCAGAGCCAGATAAATCCACACCAACACTTAAATAAATCCACACCAACACTGAAATCAGGGCCAGAGAAATCCACACCAACACTTAAATCAGATAAATCCACACCAACACCTTAAATCAGGGCCAGATAAATCCACACCAACACTTAAATCAGATAAATCCACACCAACAGTTAAATCAAATAAATCCACACCAACACCTTGAATCAAGAGCAGATAAATCCACACCGACACTCAAATCAGGGCTGGATAAATCCACACCGACACTTAAATAAATCCACACTGATACTGGAATCAGGGCCAGAGAAATCCACACCAACACTTAAATAAATCCACACTGACACTGGAATCAGGGTCAGATAAATCCACACCAACACTGAAATAAATCCACACCAACACCTTAAATCAGGGCCAGAGAAATCCACAACAGTACTCAAATCAGGGTCAGATAAATCCACACCAACACTGGAATCAGGGCCAGATAAATCCACACCAACACTGGAATCAAATAAATCCACACCAACACTGGAATTGGGGTCAAATAAATCCACACCAACACTCAAATCAGGGTCAGATAAATCCACACCAGCACTTAAATCAGATAAATCCACACCAGCACTTAAATAAATCCACACCAACACTTAAATCAAATAAATCCACACCAACACTGGAATCGGGGTCAGAGAAATCCACACCAACACTCAAATCAGGGCCAGAGAAATCCACACCAACACCTTGAATCAAGAGTGGGTAAATCCACACCAACACCAAAATCAGGGTCAGAGAAATCCACACCAAAATCAGGGTCAGATAAATCCACACCAGCACTGAAATCAAATAAATCCACACCAACACCTTAAATCAAATAAATCCACACCAACACTCAAATCAGGGCCAGAGAAATCCACACTCAACACCTTGAATCAAATAAATCCACACCAACACTTAAATAAAATAAATCCACACCACCACTTAAATCAGGGCCAGAGAAATCCACACCAACATTTAAATCAAATAAATCCACACCAGCACTTAAATCAAATAGATCCACACCAGCACTTAAATAAATCCACACCAACACCTACATCAAATAAATCCACACTGACACTGAAATCAGGGCCAGATAAATCCACACCAACACTTAAATCAAATAAATCCACACCAACACTGAAATCAGGGCCAGAGAAATCCACAGCAACAATTAAATCAAGGCCCTAATGAACCATCGACACTTTAAATCAGGGCCCGGTAAATTCCCAGCGCTCAAGGCCAGGTGAGATGAAACAACAGCACTTAAATCAAAGCCCAGACAAGGGCCTTGAGGTGCTTTGGGGTCTGCAGGGGGGTTTTAGGGCAGTGTCCTTGTCTGCTTTGGGGTCTTCAGGGGGGTTTTAGGGCAGTGTCCTTGTCTGCTTTGGGGTCTCCAGGGGGTTTTAGGGCAGTGTCCTTGTCTGTTTTGGGGTCTCCATGGGGTTTTAGGGCAGTGCCTTTGTTTTGGGGTCTCCAGGGGGTTTTAGGGAGTGTCCTTGTCTGCTTTGGGGTCTCCAGGGGGTTTTAGGGCAGTGTCTTTGTCTGCTTTGGGGTCTCCAGGGGGGTTTTAGGGCAGTGTCCTTGTCTGTTTTGGGGTCTCCAGGGGTTTTTAGGGCAGTGTCCTTGTCTGCTTTGGGGTCTGCAGGGGGGTTTTAGGGCAGTGTCCTTGTCTGGGGTCTCCAGGGGTACTGCTGGGGGTTTTAGGGCCCAGTGTCTTTGCTTTGGGGTCTGCAGGAGGGTACTGTTGGGGGCTTTTAGGGCAGTGTCTTTGCTTTGGGGTCTCCAGGGGGTTTTAGGGCAGTGTCTTTGTTTTGGGGTCTCCAGGGGGTTTTAGGGCAATGTCTTTGTTTTGGGGTCTCAGGGGTTTAGGGCAGTGTCTTTGCTTTGAGGGTCTCAGGGGGTTTTAGGGCAGTGTCTTTGTCTGTTTAGGGTCTCCAGGGGGTTTTAGGGCAGTGCCTTTGTTTTGGGGTCTGCAGGGGGGTTTTAGGGCAGTGTCTTTGTCTGTTTTGGGGTCTGCAGGGGTTTAGGGCAGTGTCTTTGTCTGCTTTGGGGTCTCCAGGGGGTTTTAGGGCAGTGTCTTTGCTTTGGGGTCTCCAGGGGGGTTTAGGGCAGTGTCTTTGCTTTGGGGTCTCCAGGGGGGTTTTAGGGCAGTGTCTTTGCTTTGGGGTCTCCAGGGGTTTAGGGCAGTGTCTTTGGCTGCTTTGGGGTCTCCAGGGGGGTTTTAGGGCAGTGCCTTTGTTTTGGGGTCTCCAGGGGGTTTTAGGGCAGTGTCCTTGTCTGTTTTGGGGTCTGCAGGGGGTTTTAGGGCAGTGTCTTTATCTGCTTTGGGGTCTCCAGGGGGTTTTAGGGCAGTGTCTTTGCTTTGGGGTCTCCAGGGGGGTTTTAGGGCAGTGTCTTTGCTTTGGGGTCTCCAGGGGGTTTTAGGGCAGTGTCTTTGCTTTGGGGTCTCCAGGGGGGTTTTAGGGAGTGTCTTTGTCTGCTTTGGGGTCTCCAGGGGGTTTTAGGGCAGTGTCCTTGTCTGTTTTGGGGTCTCAGGGGTTTAGGGCAGTGTCCTTGTCTGTTTTAGGGTCTCAGGGGTTTTAGGGCAGTGTCTTTGCTTTGGGGTCTCCAGGGGGTTTTAGGGCAGTGTCTTTGCTTTGGGGTCTCCAGGGGGTTTTAGGGCAGTGTCTTTGCTTTGGGGTCTCCCGAGGGTTTTAGGGCAGTGTCTTTGCTTTGGGGTCTCCAGGGGACTGTGGGGGATTTTAGGTCAGTGCCTTTGCTTTGGGGTCTGCAGGGGACTGTGGGGGTTTTAGGGCAATGTCTTTGCTTTGGGGTCTCCAGGGGGGTTTTAGGGCAGCGTCTTGGAGCTGCTTTGGGGTCTGCACATCCAGGAGCTGTGGGGGTGTTTTAGGGCAGTGTCCTCACCTGCTTTGGGGTCAGCAGGACCTGTGGGGTTTGGGGATGTTCTCCTGGGCTCTCCCTCCCTCCGAGCATTCTCCAGACCCTTCCCTGAATGATGTGACCACCCCACGACCCCTCACCCTCCCTTCCCCATTCCCTCCGCAGACGCTGTCCCTGGTGGCCGAATCCCGACCCAACGGCTCCGAATCCCAATCCATCGGCTCCGAATCCCACTCCAATGGTTCTGAATCCCGCTCCAAGGGCTCCGTTTCCCCCCCTGGCACCGTGCTCAGCTTCCTGCAGTGGAGAGCCGTGGCCTACGGCTCGAGCAGCCCCCGGCGCCAGGACGGGATGCGCTGCGGGGCCGGGGGGCTGCGGGAGGGGCTCTGGGCCCCCCAGCCCCTGCCCACCCTGGCCAGGGCCTATTTCGGGGCCGGGCCGGGCACCCCGCTGGGGTTCAGCGCCCTCAACGTGTCCTTCGGGGCCGGGGCCGGCGATGGGGACGTGTACAGGGAGAGGAGATTCCTGCGCTGGTCAGCGGGGACGGCACGGGGGGCAGGGAGGGGGATTGGGGTGGGTCTGGGCACTCATGGGGGCTGAGGGGGCTCAGGGGGTGGTCCTGGGCACTGATGGGGTGCAGGGGCTGAGGGGGTGGTCCTGGGCATTAATGGGGGGCAGGGGGTTTGGGGTGGGTCTGGGCACTGATGGGGGGGCAGGAGAGGGTCCTGGGCACTGATGGGGGCAGGGGGCGTTTGGGGTGGGTCTGGGCACTGATAGGGGGCAGGGGGGTCAGGGGAGGGTCCTGGGCACTGATGGGTGCAGGGGGCTCAGGGGGTGGTCCTGGGCACTGATGGGTGCAGGGGGTCAGAGGGTGGTCCTGGGCACTGATGGGTGCAGGGGTCAGAGGGTGGTCCTGGGCACTGATGGGGGCAGGGGGTCAGGGGAGGGTCCTGGGCACTGATGGGGGCAGGGGGCTCAGAGGGTGGTCCTGGGCACTGATGGGGTGCAGGGGGCTCAGAGGGCTCAGGGGGCTGAGGGGCTCAGAGGGTGGTCCTGGGCACTGATGGGGGTGCAGGGGGCCTGGGGGTGGTCCTGGGCACTGATGGGGGGGCAGGGGGCCTGGGGGTGGTCCTGGGCACTGATGGGGTGTAGGGGGTTTGGGGTGGTCCTGGGTACTGATGGGTGCAGGGAGGCTCAGGGGAGGGTCCTGGACACTGATGGGAGTGCAGGGGGTTTGGGGTGGGTCTGGGCACTGATGGGTGCAGGGGGCTCAGGGGTGGTCCTGGGCACTGATGGGAGTGCAGGGGGTTTGGGGTGGGTCTGGGCACTGATGGGGGGCAGGGGGTTTGGGGTGGTCCTGGGCAATGATGGGGGGCTGGGGGGTTTGGGGTGGTCCTGGGCAATGATGGGGGTGCAGGGGGTTTGGGGTGGGCCTGGGCACTGATGGGGTGCAGGGGGTTTGGGGGTGGTCCTGGGCACTGATGGGGTGCAGGGGGTTTGGGGTGGTCCTGGGCAATGATGGGGGGCTGGGGGGTTTGGGGTGGTCCTGGGCAATGATGGGGTGCAGGGGGTTTGGGGTGGGCCTGGGCACTGATGGGGGGCAGGGGGTTTGGGGTGGTCCTGGGCACTGATGGGGTGCAGGGGGTTTGGGGTGGGTCTGGGTATTAATGGGGGCAGGGGGTTTGGGGTGGTCCTGGGCACTGATGGGGGGCAGGGGGCCTGAGGGTGGTCCTGGGCACTGATGGGGGGCAGGGGGCTGAGAGGACTTAGGGGGTGGTCCTGGGCACTGATGGGGTACAGGGGGCTGAGGGGGCTCAGGGGTGGTCCTGGGTACTGATGGGGGCAGGGGGTTTGGGGTGGGCCTGGGCAGTGATGGGGTACAGGGGGCTCAGGGGGTGGTCCTGGGCACTGATGGGGAGCAGGGGAGTTTGGGGTGGTCCTGGGCACTGATGGGGGGCAGGGGGGGCTCAGGGGGCTGAGGGGGCTCAGGGGGTGGTCCTGGGCACTGATAGGGGGCTGGGGGGTTGGGGTGGGTCTGGGCATTAATGGGGGCAGGGGAGGGCTCAGGGGGTGGTCCTGGGCACTGATGGGAGTGCAGGGGTCAGGGGTGGGTCTGGGCACTGATGGGGGGCTGGGGATCTAAGGGAGCTCAGGGGGTGGGTCTGGGCACTGATGGGGGCTGGGGGGTTTGGGGTGTGTCTGGGCATTGATGGGGGCAGGGGGATCTGAGGGGGCTCAGGGGGTGGTCCTGGGCATTGATGGGGGCAGGGGGTTTGGGGTGGTCCTGGGCACTGATGGGGGGCAGGGGTTTTGGGGGTGGGTCTGGGCACTGATGGGGGCTGGGGGTTTAGGGTGGGTCTGGGCACTGATGGGGGACAGGGAGGGGTTTGGGGTGGGTCTGGGCATTGATAGGGGGCAGGGGGCTCAGGGGGTCAGGGGATGGGTCTGGGCACTGATGGGGTGCAGGGGGCTCAGGGGGCAGAGGGGCTCAGGGGGTGGTCCTGGGCACTGATGGGGTGCAGGGGGATCTGAGGGGGCTCAGGGGGCTGAGGGGGCTCAGGGGAGGGTCCTGGGCACTGATGGGGAGCAGGGGGTCAGGGAGTGGGTCTGGGCATTAATGGGGTGCAGGGGGCTCAGGGGTGGTCCTGGGCACTGATGGGGTGCAGGGGGCTGAGGGGGCTCAGGGGCTGAGGGGGCTCAGGGGTGGTCCTGGGCACTGATGGAGGTACAGGGGGGCTGAGGGGGTCAGGGGAGGGTCCTGGGCACTGATGGGGGCAGGGGGCTGAGGGTGGTCCTGGGCACTGATGGGGTGCAGGGGGTTTGGGGTGGGTCTGGGCACTGATGGGGGTGCAGGGGGTTTGGGGTGGGTCTGGGCACTGATGGGGTGCAGGGGGCTGAGGGGTGGTCCTGGACACTGATGGGGGGCAGGGGGTCAGGGAGGCTGAGGGGGCTCAGGGAGTGGTCCTGGACACTGATGGGGTGCAGGGGGCTCAGGGGGCTGAGGGGCTCAGGGAGTGGTCCTGGGCACTGATGGGGGGCAGGAGGCTCACAGGGAGGGTCCTGGGCACTGATGAGGGCAGGGGGCTCAGAGGGTGGTCCTGGGCACTGATGGGCTGCAGGGGGGTCAGGGGAGGGTCCTGGGCACTGATGGGGGTACAGGGGGTTTGGGGTGGGTCTGGGCACTGATGGGGGCAGGGGGTTAGAGGGTGGTCCTGGGCACTGATGGGCTGCAGGGGGGGCTCAGGGGGAGGGTCCTGGGCACTGATGGGGTGCAGGGGGGTTAGGGGGTGGTCCTGGGCACTGATGGGGTGCAGGGGGCTCAGGGGGTGGTCCTGGGCACTGATGGGGTGCAGGGGGGTCAGGGGGTGGTCCTGGGCACTGATGGGGTACAGGGGGGGTTTGGGGTGGGTCTGGGCACTGATGGGTGCAGGGGGCCCTCAGGGATGCAGGGGTGGTCTGAGTGGGCTCAGGGGGGCTGATTCCTCCCCCTCCCACCCCCCAGGTCGGTGCTGGTGGGCTTTGGGGAGCCCCCCAGGGACTCCTTCTCCCCCCTGATCATCTCCATCATGGCTGTGGCCCTGGGCACCCCCCTGGTCCTGCTCCTGGGGGGCTCCGGCCTCGTCCTGCTGGCCCGGAGGAGACGCTACTCCGAGTACGAGCCCATCAACTGAGGGGACACCCCGGGGACACCCCCAGGGTGACCTCTGGGAGACCCCCAGGATTCCCTGGGACACCCCCAGGATCTGCAGAGACACCCCCAGGATCTACAGGGACACCCCAGGATCTACAGGGACACCCCCAGGATTCCCTGGGACACCCCCAGGATCTGCAGGGACACCCCAGGATCTGCAGGGACACCCCCAGGATTCTCTGGGACACCCCCAGGATTCCCTGGGACACCCCCAGGATTCCCTGGGACACCCCCAGGATTCTCTGGGACACCCCCAGGATTCCCTGGGACACCCCAGGATCTACAGGGACACCCCCAGGGTGACCCCTGGGAGACCCCCAGGATCTGCAGGGACACCCCCAGGATCTGCAGGGACACCCCAGGATCTACAGGGACACCCCCAGGATTCTCTGGGACACCCCCAGGATTCCCTAGGAGACCCCCAGGATTCCCTGGGACACCCCCAGGATTCTCTGGGACACCCCCAGGATTCCCTGGGACACCCCAGGATCTGCAGGGACACCCCCAGGATCTGCAGGGACACCCCCAGGATCTACAGGGACACCCCCAGGATCTGCAGAGAGAGCACCAGGATACTCAGGGAAACCCCCAGGATGCCCAGGGAGACCCTTGGGATCCCCAGGAGACCCCCCAGGAGACCCCCAGGATGCCCAGGAGACCCCAGGATGCCCAGGGAGACCCCCAGGATGCCCAGGGAGACCTTTGGGATCCCCAGGGAGAGCCCCAGGATCCTCAGGGAGACCCCCAGGATGCCCATGGAGACCCCCAGGATCCACAGGAACACCCTGGGACACCCCTGGGATCCTCAGGGAGACCCCCGGGATCCACAGGAACACCCCCAGGTCCCCAGGGAGACCCCTGGGATCCTCAGGGAGACCCCTAGGATCCCCAGAGAGACCTCCGGGATCCTCAGGGAGACCTCCAGGATCCACAGGAACACCCTGGGACACCCCTGGGATTCTTTGGGAGACCCCTGGGATCCTCAGGGAGACCCCCAGGATCCCCAGGAGACCCCCAGGATCCTCTGGGATACCCCCAGGATGCCCAGGGAGACCTTTGGGATACCCAGAGAGACCTTTGGGATCCTCAGGGAGACCCCCAGGATCCCCTGGCTCTCCCCATCCCAGCATTCCCAGCTCCAAGGGGATCCCAAAAGACAAAGGGTCTCTCCCTTTGTCCTTGCTCCTCCTCTCCCTGCCTTGGATTGCACTTTTCTCTCCACGGTTTTTTTTTTTTCCTGATTATTCCAAAGGATTCCAATCCCTGGGGTTTGGACCCTCCTTCTCCTCCTTTTCCTCCTCCTTTTCCAAAGGGATCCAACCACTGCTGTGCAGGGATGCTTGGGAAGGCACCCAGGGGTGCTCCCTGCTCCCTGCTGTGCCGGGAAATCCCGGGAATTCCCAGGCAGGTTCCCTGTTCTCCGGGGGCCTCCCGAGCCAAATAAAAGCGGATTTCTAAGCGGGGTTTCCTGTGGGAAAGGAGGAGGGGTGAGAATGGCATCGACCGAGGGGAGGTGGGCAGGGGGGTGGGGGCAGGAAAAAGGAGGGTGGGGGTCGGGAAAAGGGGATGGGAGAGTTGGGGAAAGAGGATGGGAGTCAGGAAAAGAGGGGATGGGAGTCAGGAAAAGGGGGATGGGGGTTGGGGAAAGAGGGAAGTTGGGGAAAGAGGGATGGAAGTCGGGAAAAGAGGGGATGGGGGTCAGGAAAAGAGGGATGGGAGTCAGGAAAAGAGGGATGGAAGTTGAGAAAGGGGGGATTGGGGTTGGGAAAAGAGGGAATGGAAATCGGGAAAAGAAGGAATGGGGGTAAGGAAAAGAGGGGTGGGAGTCGGGAAAAGAAGGAATGGGGGTCAGGAAAAGGGGGATGGGGGTCAGGAAAAGAGGGATGGAAGTTGGGAAAGAGGGGATGGGGGCCAGGGAAAGAGGGATGGGAGTCAGGAAAAGAGGGATGGAAGTTGAGAAAGGGGGGATTGGGGTTGGGAAAAGAGGGATGGAAGTCGGGAAAAGGGGAATGGAAGTTGGGAAAAGAGGGGATGGGAGTCGGGAAAAGAGGGAATGGGGGTCAGGAAGAGAGGGGTGGAAATCGGGAAAAGAGGGGATGGGGGTCAGGAAAAGAGGGATGGAAGTTGGGAAAGGGGGGATTGGGGTTGGGAAAAGAGGGATGGAAGTCAGGAAAAGAGGGGATGGGGGTCAGGAAAAGAGGGATGGGAGTCAGGGAAAGGGAGGATTGGGGTTGGGAAAAGAGGGATGGGAGTCGGGAAAAGAGGGAATGGAAATCGGGAAAAGAGGGATGGGGCTCAGGAAAAGGAGGGTGGGAGTTGGGAAAGAGGGGGATGGAAGTCGGGAAAAGGGGGATGGAAATTGGAAAAAGAGGGAATGGGGGTCAGGAAAAGGGGAATGGGGGTCAGGAAAAGAGGGAATGGGAGTCAGGAAAAGAAGGAATGGGGGTCAGGAAAAGAGGGGATGGAGGTCAGGAAAAGAGGGGATGGGGGTCAGGAAAAGAGGGCTGGGGGTCGGGAAGAGGCGGGTTCCCCCCTTTCCCCCTCACACCCCCCTCTCTCCCCACACCTCTCGGTGTGTGGCCGGGGCGGGCCCGCTGTGGGCCCTGCCCCCGGAGCCGGGGCCGCCCTCGCCGTGGGCCCTGCCCCCGGAGCCGGGGCCGCCCTCGCCGTGGGCCCTGCCCCGGAGCCGGGGCCGCCCTCGCCGTGGGCCCTGCCCCCGGAGCCGGGGCCGCCCTCGCTGTGGGCCCTGCCCCCGGAGCCGGGGCCGCCCTCGCTGTGGGCTCTGCCCCCGGAGCCGGGGCCGCCCTCGCTGTGGGCCCTGCCCCCGGAGCCGGGGCCGCCCTCGCCGGCCTCGTCAGCGCCGCTCCCGATAAAAGGGCGGCGGCGGCCGCGGCCCGCCCGCAGCCAGCGCCATGTTCTCCCTGCGGCCCCGGGCCGTGCTCGGCTTCAACCTCTACTGCGGGGGCTCGCCCGCCTCGGCACACACAGCGCCAGCGCCGCCGCCAACGCCTCGGCCGGAGCCGCCGCTCGGAGCCGCCTCGGGAGAAGAATCCCCCTCAGGAGAAGAATCCCCCTCATCAGGAGAAGAATCCCCCTCATCAGGAGAAGAATCCCCCTCCTCAGGAGAAGAATCCCCCTCAGGAGAATCCCCCTCAGGAAAATCCCCCTCAGGAGAACCCCCCTCAGGAGAAGAATCCCCCTCAGGAGGATCCCCCTCAGGAAAATCCCCCTCAAGAGAAGAACCCCCCTCAGGAAAATCCCCCTCAGGAGGAGAATCCCCCTCAGGAGCCGCCGAGCGGCCCGGCCGCCCCCCCCGCTCGCTGATTGGCTGCGGCACCGCGCCGCGCTCGCTGATTGGCTGCGGCGCCGCGCCGCGCTCGCTGATTGGCTGCGGCGCGGCTCTTTGGCGCCCCGAGCAGGAGCTGGACGGCTGCGACTCCGAGCCCGAGAAGGGCCCCAGGAGGAGGAGGAGGAAGAAGAAGAAGAAGAAAGGGGGGATTCCCTGCCCGGCACCCCCCCGGGACCCCCCGACAGGCTGCGGCAGGACACGCTGGAGCTCATCGGCCGCTACCTGCGGGAGGCGGCGGGGGAGGCCTCGCCGGCCGGCGCTAAGAAGCTGTTTCCCGGACTGCTGGGGGGGCCCGGCCGGCCCGGAGGGGAGGCCGTGATGGAGAAGGCGCTGGAGACGCTGCGGAGGGTCGGCGATGGAGTCATGAGGAAGCACGAGCTCGCCTTCCAAGGTGGGCGGTGGCCGCGGTGACCCCCGAGCCTTCCCCCGGGTGGGGAGGGAGAGAACCCATCGACCCCCCCCACACCCCCTTTTGGGGCCGAGCCACGGACCCCGGGCCCGGCGTGGGGAGGGTTTTTTTTTGGGGGGGGTCTCCCTGCGAGAGGGGGCACAGGGAGGGGTGGTCCCGGGGTTCTTGGGGTCAGGGATCCACCCTTTGGGTCAGGGATCCACCCTTTGGGTGGGGGATCCAGCCTTGGGGTGGGGGATCCATCTTTGGGGTGGGGGATCCATCTTTGGGGTGGGGGATCCTCCCTTGGGGTGGGGATCCAGCACTGGGGTGGGGATCCATCTTTGGGGTGGGGATCCATCTTTGGGGTGGGGATCCATCTTTAGGGGTAGAGATCCATCTTTGGGGTGGGGATCCACCTTTGGGGTGGGGATCCACCCTTGGGGTCAGGAATCCACCCTTGGGGTCAGGAATCCACCCTTGGGGTCAGGAATCCACCCTTGGGGTGGGGGATCCTCCCTTGGGGTCAGGGATCCACCCTTGGGGTCAGGGATCCACTCTTGAGGTCAGGAATCCAGCCTTGAGGTCGGGAATCCAGCCTTGAGGTCGGGAATCCAGCCTTGGGGTCGGGAATCCAGCCTTGGGGTCGGGAATCCACCCTTTGGGTCGGGAATCCACCCTTGAGGTCAGGAATCCACCCTTGAGGTCAGGGATCCACCCTTGGGGTCGGGGATCCTCCCTTGGGGTCGGGGATCCACCCTTGGGGTCGGGGATCCACCCTTGGGGTCGGGGATCCTCCCCTGAGGTCAGGAATCCACCCTTGGGGTCGGGGTTCCACCCTTGAGGTCAGGAATCCACCCTTGAGGTCGGGGATCCACCCTTGAGGTCGGGGATCCACCCCTGGGGTCGGGGTTCCACCCTTGGGGTCGGGGATCCACCCTTGGGGTCGGGGATCCTCCCTTGGGGTCGGGAATGCACCCTTGAGGTCGGGGATCCACCCTTGAGGTCGGGGATCCACCCCTGGGGTCGGGGTTCCACCCTTGAGGTCGGGGATCCACCCTTGGGGTCGGGAATCCACCCTTGGGGTCGGGAATCCACCCTTGGGGTCGGGGATCCTCCCTTGGGGTCGGGGATCCCCCTCCCACCGTCCTTTTCCGGGTGGGAGAGGAGGAAGCGGCAGGAGCTCCAGTTGGGGGAGGTCGTTCCAGGATATTTGGGTGAATTCAAGGGTTAAATAAAAAAGAATTAAAAAAGGGGCAGCCGAGCGAGAGAGGCGATTAAAAAAACGAAACCGAACTTTGCCCCGCTGGGAGGAGGAGGAGGAGGAGGAGGAAAAGGAAAAGCCACCCCTGGCCTGTGCGGGGCAGATAATCTGGTTACAAATCAACCCCCGGTTCCTCCTGGGGTCCCCGCCGGGCTCAGGAATCCGAAAATCCCTTAGTTCAGGGCTTGGGAATGTTCCCACCCTCAATTTAGGGATTTTTTTTGGAGGTGTAAGGGGAGAATTTTGGGTCGATTCAGGGGGTCGCGGAATCGCGGGGTGGGCTGGGTGGGAAGGGACCTTTTAAAGCTCATCCAGCGCCTGGGCAGGGGACACCTCCCCCTGTCCCAAACTGCTCCAAAAACCGGGCAGGGAAAGAGCTAAAAACGCGCCCGAAGCTTCCCTTCCATCCGCTGGGAGAATCGTGGGGGTTTATTTTTTCCTCCCTCTGTGCCAATTCCCGGACGTGCCTCTGGAATGACTCCCCGGGAGGAAAGGAATGTCCAGGAATGTGACGTTCTGGTGCTTTCCTGAGGAGCAGGAGGAGGAGGAGGAGCGGTTTTAGGGGAGGTTTCCTGCCCGTTTCGAGCAACAACAAGCGGCGCCTCTCGGGGCTCTGGGCGAGGGCACAGCCGGGAATTGGGGGGCTCTGGAAGGAGCTGGGGAGGGGCCCTGGTTTCTGTCCCCGGGCTTGGTTCTGACGCGGGGCTGGAAAAGTTCGGGATGGGGGAGGGAGGGAGGAGATCAGAGTGTGTCCTGGAGTGGATTTGGTGCGTCCTGGGATGGGTTTGGTGCGTCCTGGGATGGGTTTGGTGCGTCCTGGGATGGTTTTTGTGCACCCCGGGATGGTTTTGATGCATCCTGGAATGGTTTTTGTGTGTCCTGGGATGGTTTTTATGTGTCCTGGAGTGATTTTTGTGTGTCCCAGCTGAGCCAGAGCCCTCTGAGGAAGCTCTGCCTGGCCCTGCAGGGTGAACTTGGCTCCATCTCCAGGGGTTGGGCTCAGCCCAGGGTTAGTCCTGACACGGAAAACTTTGACACAGGGGGTGTAATGAGCTCAGGCACCACAAGGGAGGGGGAGGAAGGTCCTCAAGGTGTGTCCTGGAATGGTTTTTGTGCACCCTGGGATGGTTTTTGTGTGTCCCAGCCGAGCCAGAGCCCCCTGAGGAAGCTCTGCCTGTCCCTACAGGGTGTCCTTGGCTCCATCTCCAGGGGTTGGGCTCAGCCCAGGGTCAGTTCTGGTGTGGTAGGATTTGAAAAGCTCGAGGCAGAGGAGTGAGGAAGGAGCTCAGAGTGTGTCCTGGGCTGGTTTGTGTGTCCCAGCTGAGTCAGGGCCCTCTAAAGAAGCTCTGCCTGGCCCTGCAGGGTGAACTTGGTTTCATCTCCAGGGGTTGAACTCTGCCCAGGGTTAGATCTGGGGTGGTGGGACTGGAAAAGCTCGGGACAGAGGAGTGAGGAAGGAGCTCAGAGTGTGGCCTGGGTTGGGCAGAGCCCTCTGATGGTGCAGAATGTGCTTTGCCTGGCCCTGCAGGGTGTCCTTGGTTTGAGCTCCAGGGGTTGGGCTCAGCCCAGGGTTAGATCTGACACGGAAAACTTTGACACAGGGGGTGTGACGTGCTCAGACACCACAAGGGAGGGGGAGGAAGGTCCTCAAGGTGTGTCCTGGGATGGTTTTTGTGTATCCCAGCTGAGCCAGAGCCCCCTGAGGAAGCTCTGCCTGGCCCTGCAGGGTGTCCTTGGCTTCATCTCCAGGGGTTGGGTTCAGCCCAGGGTCAGTTCTGGTGTGGTAGGATTTGAAAAGCTCGAGACAGAGGAGTGAGGAAGGAGCTCAGAGTGAGGCCTGGGTTGATTTTTGGGCAGCAGAACCCTCTGAGGAAGCTTTGCCTGTCCCTGCAGGGTGTCCTTGGCTCCATCTCCAGGGGTTGGGCTCAGCCCAGGGTTAGATCTGACATGGAAAACTTTGACACAGGGGGTGTGACGTGCTCAGACACCACAAGGAGGGGGAGGAAGGAAGTCAAAGTGTGTGCTGGGCTGGTTTGTGTGTGCTGGGCTGATTTTTGTGTGTCCTGGGCTGAGTCAGAGCCCTCTAAAGAAGCTCTGCCTGGCCCTGCAGGGTGTCCTTGGTTTGAGCTCCAGGGGTTGAACTCTGCCCAGGGTTAGATCTGACGTCATGGGGCAGGAGACAGGGGGTGTGACGAGCTCAGACACCACAAGGGAGGGGGAGGAAGGTCCTCAAGGTGTGTGCTGGGCTGATTTTTGCGTGTGCTGGGCTGATTTTTGTGTGTCCCAGCTGAGCCAGAGCCCCCTGAGGAAGCTCTGCCTGGCCCTGCAGGGTGAACTTGGTTTGAGCTCCAGGGGTTGAACTCTGCCCAGGGTTAGATCTGACGTCATGGGGCAGGAGACAGGGGGTGTGACGAGCTCAGACACCCCAAGGGAGGGGGAGGAAGGTCCTCAAGGTGTGTCCTGGAATGGTTTTTGTGTGTCCTGGAATGGTTTTTGTGTGTCCTGGGCTGATTTTTGTGTGTCCTGGGCTGCTTTGTGTCCATCCCAACCTCTTCAGACCCCCTGAAGGAAGCAGGCCCTGCCCTCCATCCCTTTTCTCCCCCAACCCCGGGGTGGATTTTCCCCTCCCTCCAACCCAACCAACCCTTCCCTCTCCTCTCTCTCCCACCCCAGGGATGCTGAGGAAGCTGGAGATCCGGCAGGAGCAGGACCTGCAGGCCGTGGTGGAGGTGGCAGGGCACGTGTTCAGCGATGGGGTGACCAACTGGGGCCGGGTGGTGACCCTGGTGGCCTTCGGGGCCTTCGTGGCGCGGCAGCTGCGGGGCCCGGAGCGCGAGCGCTGCGTGGGAGCCCTGGCCCAGATCCTGAGCGACGCCCTCGTGGGGGCACGGAGGGACTGGCTGATCCAGCAGGGGGGATGGGTGAGTGAGGGGGGGAAATGGGGGTGTTATTGGGGTGTTAATGGGGTGTTAATGGGGTGTTAATGGGGGCTGCTCCAGCAGGGGGGATGGGTGAGTGAGGGGGGACTCCTGGAGGTGTTATGGGGGCTGCTCCAGCAGGGGGGATGGGTGAGAGATGGGGGTGTCATTGGGGTGTTAATGGGGGCTGGGGGTGTCATTGGGGGCTGCTCCAGCAGGGGGATGGGTGAGAGATGGGGTGTCATTGGGGTGTTATTGGGGGCTGGGGGTGTCATTGGGGGCTGCTCCAGCAGGGGGGATGGGTGAGAGATGGGGTGTTATTGGGGTGTTATTGGGGTGTTATTGGGGTGTTATTGGGGTGTTATTGGGGTGTTAATGGGGGTGTCATTGAGGTGTTAATCGGGGCTGCTCCAGCAGGGGGGATGGGTGAGAGATGGGGGTGTCATTGGGGTGTCATTGGGGTGTTAATGGGGGCTGCTCCAGCAGAGGGATGGGTGAGAGATGGGGAAATGGGGTGTTATTGGGGTGTTATTGGGGTGTTAATGGGGGCTGCTCCAGCAGGGGATGGGTGAGTGAGGGAGATGGGTGAGAGATGGGGGCTGGGGGTGTTAATGGGGGCTGCTCCAGCACGGGGATGGGTGAGGAATGGGGGAATGGGGGTGTTAATGGGGGCTGCTCCAGCAGGGGATGGGTGAGTGAGGGGGTGTTATTGGGGGTGTTAATGGGGGGCTGGGGGGTGCTCATTAGGGGTGTTAATGAGGGGTGTCATTGGGGTGTCACTGGGGCTGCTCCAGCAGGGGGATGGGTGAGGAATGGGGGTGTTATTGGGGGCTGCTCCAGCAGGGGGATGGGTGAGTGAGGGGTGTTATTGGGGGGCTGGGGGTGTCATTGGGGTGTCAATGGGGGCTGCTCCAGCAGGGGATGGGTGAGTGAGGGGGAAATGGGGTGTTAATGGGGTGTTATTGGGGGCTGGGGGTGTCATTGGGGTGTCATTGGGGTGTTAATGGGGGCTGCTCCAGCAGGGGGATGGGTGAGGAATGAGGGGGATGGGGGCTCCTGGGGGTGTTATGGGGGCTGGGAGTGTCATTGGGGTGTCATTGGGGGCTGCTCCAGCAGGGGGATGGGTGAGTGAGGGGGTGTTATTGGGGTGTTAATGGGGGCTGCTCCAGCAGGGGGATGGGTGAGTGAGGGGGAAATGGGGGTGTTATTGGGGCTGCTCCAGCAGGGGGATGGGTGAGTGAGGGGGATGTTATGGGGGCTGGGGTGTCATTGGGGTGTCACTGGGGGCTGCTCCAGCAGGGGGATGGGTGAGTGAGGGGGATGTTATGGGGGGCTGGGGGTGTCATTGGGGGCTGCTCCAGCAGGGGGATGGGTGAGTGAGATGGGGCGTTATGGGGGCTGGGGTGTCACTGGGGGCTGGGGTGTTATGGGGGCTGCTCCAGCAGAGGGATGGGTGAGTGATGAGGGACTGGGGGTGTCATTGGGGGCTGCTCCAGCAGGGGGATGGGTGAGCAATGGGGGTGCTGGGCTGGGGAGAGGGCTGGGGGTGTCACTGGGGGTGTCATGGGGGGTGCTGGGTCAGGGGAAGGGGCTGGGGGTGTCATTGGGGGCTGCTGGGTCAGGGGAAGGGGCTGGGGGTGTCATTGGGGGCTGCTGGGTCAGGGGAAGGGGCTGGGGGTGTCATTGGGGCTGCCCCAGCTGCTCCCACAGCCACCGACCCTGCAGGGTGTTCCTGTTGGATCCTGCAGCCCCTACAGGGGTTTGTGGGGATCCTGCAGCTCCTACAGGGAGATTCCTGAGGGAAATGGGGCTGTGGGGATCCTGCAGCTCCTCCAGGGAATTTGTGGGGATCCTGGAGCTCCTCCAGGGAATTTGTGGGGATCCTGCAGCCCCTACAGGGGGATTCCTGAGGGAACTGGGGCTGTGGGGATCCTGGAGCTCCTACAGGGATTTGTGGGGATCTTGGGGCTCCTCCAGGGACTTGTGGGGATCCTGCAGCTCCTCCAGGGAATTTGTGGGGATCCTGCAGCTCCTACAGGGGGATTCCTGAGGGAAACGGGGTTTGTGGGAATCCTGGAGCTCCTACAGGTGTTTGTGGGGATCCTGCAGCTCCTACAGGGATTTGTGGGGATCCTGCAGCTCCTCCAGGGAATTTGTGGGGATCCTGCAGCTCCTCCAGGGGTTTGTGGGGATCCTGCAGCTCCTCAAGGGGGATTCCTGAGGGAACTGGGGCTGTGGGGCTGCAGGAGCTCCTACAGGAGGATTTCTAGGGGAATCAGGGTTTGTGGGGATGCAGGAGCTCCTACAGGGAGATTCCTGAGGGAACTGGGATTGTGGGGATCCTGCAGCTCCTACAGGGGAGATTCCTGAGGGAACTGGGGCTGTGGGGATCCAGGTTGTGGGGCTGGGCTGGGCTGGGCTGTGGGACCCCACTGGGCTTTGCCCTTCCCCTCCCTCCCTCCTCCCTCCTCCCAGCGCACATTCCTGACCTTTCCCCCATCTCTCCCTCTGTTCCCAGGAGGGCTTCGTGGACTTTTTCCGTGTGGAGGACCTGGAGGGGAGCCTGCGGAGCATCCTGGTGGCCTTCGCGGGCGTGGCGGGGCTGGGGGCGGGCCTGGCCTTCCTGAGCCGCTGATCCCGGCCTGGCCTCGCCTCCCGAGGGGCCGGACGAGCTCCGGGCCCTCCTCCCACACGGCAGAATTCCCCCTGGGATGCTCCCTGCGCCACGAGGAGGAGGAGGAGGAGGAGGAGGAGGAGGGGGTGGCCCTGCTCAGCTGGATGGAAAATGCTGGAAGGTTTGGCTGCTCTTCCCCACCCCCCCTCCCCAGAGGATGATGATGATGATGATGAAGCAGGATCAGCCCCTGGGCTCGGACTGAGAGAGGAGGAGAAACCTCAAAGAGGAAAACTCCAGGAACAGCCCCCCCTGTCCCCTTTTCCTTCCTCCTGCCAAAAAATCCTGGAGGTGCTGAGCCCTCCCCCCCGTGGGGGTTTGGTTTTTTTTTTTGGGGGGGGTCCTCAATGAGCAGCCCCCTCTGGAAGGGGCAGAGAGCTTTGGGATCCTCTGCCAGGACATGGAAGTGCTGGAGCCTCTTTCCATTCCCCCCTCCAGGAGGGTCCCAGGGGGGATGAGAAGGAAGGAGAGAATTTTGGATGTGCCCCCCCTGGAAATGGGGGAAATCCGCGGGAAAAAGGACATTTGGAGAGCGGGGGATGTGATTCCATCCCCCAGAAATCCTGGAGTGGCCCAGCCTCGGGGTTGGGGGTTTAAATCTCGGGTTTTTTTGGGTGGTTTTGGCCTCCCGGGGAAGGGGGGGTGGGATTGGGAGGAGCTTGGGAGTCACTTCTTCATCCCTCTTGTCCCTCGTGTGCTTCCAATCCCTCCTCCTGCTCCTCCTATCCCTCCTCCTGCTCCTCCAATCCTTCTGTTCCCTCCTCCTGCTCCTCCAATCCTTCTGCTCCCTCCTCCTGCTCCTCCCATCCCTCCTCCTGTCCCTCCCATCCCTCCTCCAATCCTTCTCATCCCTCCTCCTGCTCCTCCAATCCTTCTGTTCCCTCCTCCTGCTCCTCCCATCCCTCCTCCTGTCCCTCCTATCCCTCCTCCTGCTCCTCCAGTCCTTCCAATCCTTCCTGCCCATGCAAAAATCTCTCCTGCTCCTCCCATCCCTCCTGTTCCTCCAGTTCCTCCTCCTGTCCCTCCCACCCCCTCCTGCTCCTCCAATCCTTCCAATCCCTCCTCCTGCTCCTCCCATCCCTCCTGCTCCTCCAGTTCCTCCTCCTCCTCCTCCCCTCCCTCCTCCTGCTCCTCCAATCCTTCCAATCCCTCCTGCCCATCCAAAAATCCCTCCTGCTCCTCCCCTCCGTCCTCCTGCTGCTCCGATCCTTCCAATCCCTTCCCGCCCCTCCAAAAATCCCTCCTTGCTCCTCCCCTCCCTGTCCTTCCCTCCTCGCATCCCCGGGCTGGACGAGGCTGAGGTTTGAATGTAAAGAACTTTAGGTGTTTTTGGGGGGTTGGGGGATGATTTTGGCTCCCTGGAGGGCTGGCAGGCTGTCCCGCCCGGCCGGATCAGGGACGCTTGGGAGCCCAGGGGCGCTCGAGGATGCTCGGGAGCCCCGGGGATGCTCGGGGGTCTCGGGAGCCCAGGGGATGCTCAGGAGCCCAGGGGATGCTCAGGAGCCCTAGGGGATGCTCGGGGGACGCTCAGGAGCCCTGGGGCGCTCAGGAGCCCGGGGATGCTCGGGGGCGCTCAGGGAGCCCAGGGGGCGCTCAGGAGCCCCGGGGATGCTCAGGAGCCCAGGGGATGCTCGGGGGACGCTCGGGAGCCCCGGGGGACGCTCGGGGGATGCTCGGGAGCCCCGGGGGATGCTCGGGGGACGCTCGGGAGCCCCGGGGGACGCTCGGGAGCCTCGGGAGCCCAGGGGACGCTCAGGAGCCTCGGGAGCCCAGGGGATGCCTCAGGAGCCCCGGGGGATGCTCGGGAGCCCCGGGGGATGCTCGGGGGATGCTCGGGAGCCCCGGGGGATGCTCGGGAGCCCCGGGGGACGCTCGGGAGCCTCGGGAGCCCCGGGGGATGCTCGGGAGCCTCGGGGGACGCTCGGGCGCTCGGGAGCTCCGGGAATGCGCCCGCCCCGAGCTGGGTTTGCTCAATAAACGGCTCTTGGCTCTCGCTGCTCTCGCCGCTCTCCTCGGCCACGGCGCGGGGGGAGTGGGGGATTCTTTTTTTGGGGGGTGGAAACGCCCCCCGGGGGAGGGGGTGGTGGCATTTCTGGGGTGTCCTGTGGCACCTCTGGGGTGTTTGGTGTCACCTCTGGGGTGTTTGGTGTCACCCCTGGGGGGTCTGGTGGCACCCCTGGGTGTCTGGTGGCACCTCTGGGTGTTTGGTGGCACCTCTGGGGTGTTTGGTGGCACCTCTTGGGGGTCTGGTGGCACCTTCTGAGCTCCCTGAGCTGCCTTGGGGGGTTCTGGTGTCACCTCTGGACTGTCCTGTGTCACCTCTGGGCTGTCCTTTGTCACCTCTGGGGTGTTTGGTGGCACCTCCTGGACTCCCAGAGCTGCTCTGGGGATCTGGTGTCATCTCTGGACTGTCCTGTGTCACCTCCTGGGTTCCCAGAGCTGCCTTAGGGTGTCCTGTGTCACCTCTGGAGGGTCTGGTGTCACCTGCTGGACTCCCAGAGCTGCTCTGAGCTGTCCTGTGTCACCTCTGGGGGGTCTGGTGGCACCTCCTGGGCTCCCAGAGCTGCCTTGGGGGGGTCTGGTGTCACCCCTGGGGTGTTTTGTGTCACCTCCTGGACTCCCAGAGCTGCTCTGGGGGGTCTGGTGTCACCTTTGAGGCATCTGGTGGCACCTCTGGGTGTTTGGTGGCACCTCTGGGGTGTTTGGTGTCACCTCCTGGACTCCCAGAGCTGCTCTGAGCTGTCCTGTGTCACCTCTGGGGTGTCTGGTGGCAGCTCTGGGTGTTTGGTGGCACCTCTTGGGGGTCTGGTGGCACCTCCTGAGCTGCCTTGGGGGGTTCTGGTGTCACCTCTGGGCTGTCCTTTGTCACCTCTGGGGCGTTTGGTGTCACCTCCTGGGTTCCCAGAACTGCCTTAGGGTGTCCTGTGTCACCTCTGGGTGTCCTGTGTCACCTCTGGGGTGTTTTGTGGCACCTCCTGGACTCCCAGAGCTGCTCTGGACTGTCCTGTGTCACCTCTGAGGTGTTTGGTGTCACCTCTGGGCTGTCCTGTGTCACCTCTGGGGTGTTTGGTGTCACCTCCTGAGCTCCCAGAGCTGCCCTGGGGGGTTCTGGTGTCACCTCTGGGTGTCCTGTGTCACCTCTGGGATGTTTTTGGTGTCACCCCTGGGCTGTTTGGTGTCACCTCCTGGGGTCCCAGAGCTGCTCTGGACTGTCCGGTGGCACCTCTGGAGCGTTTGGTGGCACCTCCTGAGCTTCCAGAGCTACTTTAGGGTTATTTTGGAGTTATTTCAGGCTTATTTTCGGGGTTATTTTCGGGGTTATTTTGGGGTTATTTTTGGGTTATTTTTGGAGTTATTTCGGGGTTATTTTGGGGTTATTTTTGGGTTATTTTTGTTTATTTTTTGGGGTTATTTTGGTGTCATTTTGGGGTTATTTTGGCGTTATTTTTGGCACCATTTTGGGGTTATTTTGGGTTATTTCATGGTTATTTTTGGGGTTATTTTGGGGTTATTTTTGGGTTATTTCATGGTTATTTTTGGGGTTATTTTTGTTTATTTTTTGGGGTTATTTTTGGGGTTGTTTTGGGGTTATTTTTTGATTATTTTGGGGTTATTTCAGGGTTATTTTTGGGGTTATTTTTTGGGTTATTTTGGAGTTATCTTTGGGGTTATTTCAGGGTTATTTCATGGTTATTTTGAGGTTATTTTGGGGGGGGGGCTCTGAATTTTGGGGTTCTGACGTCCCCCAGATCCCAAGGGGTTGATTTTGGGGGGTTTTTGGTGTCTCCCAGAGCGCGGGCTGCAGTTTTTTTTGGGTTTGTTTTTTATTTTTGGTGCCAGCCCTTCCTGGAAGGCTCCGATGAAGCCGCGAGGTTTCCTTTTCCTCTCCCCTCCCCCTTCCCCTCCCCCTCCCCGGGCTTTTTGGGGTTTTTTTTTCGCCGAAACGGCCGCGACTTCTGCGAATTTTGGTGTAAATAAACTCGGGGTGGGGGAGGGGAGGGGAGGGGTTTGGGTTAAAGATTAAAGATTAAAGAGGAAGATTAAAAATGAAAGATTCAAAATTCAAAATTCAAAATTCAAAATTAAATTACAAATGAAAGCAACTCCCGCTTTGGTTTTTAGGGGTTTTGGGGGGTTTTTTAGGGGTTTTGGTGGGGATTTAGGGGGTTTTTTAGGGGTTTTGGGGGGATTTTGGGCGGTTTTTAGGGATATTGGGGGGGATTTAGGGTTTTTTTAGGGGTTTGTGGGGATTTAGGTTTTTAGGGAGTTTGGGGGATTTAGGGTTTTTAGGGTTTTGGGGGGATTTAGGGTTTTTTAGGGAGTTTGGGGGGATTTAGGGTTTTTAGGGATATTGGGGATTTATGGGTTTTTAGGGGGTTTGGGGAGTTTAGGGGTTTTTAGGGGGTGTTTTGGGGGGGATTTAGGGGTTTTAAGGGGTTTTGGGGGGATTTAGGGCTTTTTAGGGGTTTTTTAGGGGTTTAGGGGTTTTTAGGAGGTGTTTTTGCGGGGATTTAGGGAATTTTTAGGGGTTTTGTGGTGTATTTAGGGGTTTTTTAAGGGATTTTGGGGGGATTTAGGGTTTTTTTAAGGGTTTTGTGGTGGATTTAGGTGGTTTTTGTATTTTTTGGGGGGGGTCAAACCCCGTTCCCGTTCACCGCAGTGTCCCCTGGGAGGGGGCGTGGCTATGCAAATCACCCGTGATTGACACCGCGCATCGACCAATGGGAGCGGATTATTCAATGAGAGGGCGTGGCCTCCACGTCCGGCCCTTCCGAGGCCGCGGGTTCGAGACCCGCGGGGGAAACCCCGGGAATGGGGTGGGATGGGGGGGATTGGGGGGTCCCACGACCCCAAAACCGGGGGGGATCCCGCACGGCGGAGACCCCCGGAGCGCCCCCAGGACTGGAGGTAAAAGAACCGCCCCCCCATATCGGCTGAGACCACGCCCGGCTCACGACACGAGTGGGACCCCCCACCCTGGGGACACCCCCGGGAGGTGCCAAAAAAAAACTAAAAAAAACAATGGGGAGCCACCGAAACACCGACAGAGCCCGCGGGGCTGCAGAGAAACGGCTTTAACGTGAACTACAGGAGGAGGGAAAAGAAGAGGGGGGGAAAAAAGGGGGGAATTTGAGGACAAAAATAATCCCGGTTGGACTCGGCTCCTGCAGGAGGAGGAGCAGCCGAGCCGGGGTGGGGGAGGAAGGGGCATCTGCCTGACACCCCTGAACACCCTCCCACCCCAGGGGGGTCCCCTGAATCCCCTCCCACCCCAGGAGGGTCCCTTGAACCCCCTCCCACCCCAGGGGGGTCCCCTGAATCCCCTTCTCACTCCAGGAGGGTCCCCTAAACCCCTTTCCCACCCCAAGAGGGTCCCCTGAACCCCTTTTCCACCCCAAGAGAGTCCCCTGGGCCCCTTTTCCCACCCCAAGAGGGTCCCCTGAGCCCTTTTCTAGTTCAGAAGGGTCCCCTGAACGCCTTTCCCACCCCAAGAGGGTCCCCTGAACCCCTTTTCTAGCTCAGAAGGGTCCCCTGAACCCCTTTTCTCACTCCACGAGGGTCCCCTTAACCCTTTTTCCACTCCAGGAGGGTCCCCTGGACCCCTTTTCTACCTCAGAAGGGTCCCCTGAACCCCTTCCCAGCCCCTCTCCACCCCAAGAGGGTCCCCTGAACTCCTTTTCCACCCAAGAGGGTCCCTGAACCCCTTTCCTACCTCAGAAGGGTCCCCTGAACCCTTTCCCACCCCAAGAGAGTCCCTTGAACCCCTTTTTCGACCCCAAGAGGGTCCCCTGAACCCCTTTTCCCACCCCAAGAGAGTCCCTTGAACCCCTTTTCCACCCCAAGAGGGTCCCTGAACCCCTTTTCCCACCCCAAGAGGGTCCCCTGAACCCCTTTCCCACCCCAAGAGGGTCCCCTGAACCCCTTTTCCCACCCCAAGAGGGTCCCCTGCCCCCTTCTCAGCCCTCAGCCCACCCCAGGATGCAGCTTTGGGGTTTGTTTTTAGGGGCTGAGTCCCCTCAGAGCAGTCTAGGAAGTTCTTAGGGGCTCCTCACTGGAATCTGGGGAGATTTTTAGAGATTTTTAGGGGCTGAGTCCCCTCAAAGCAGTCTGGGGAGGTTTTCAGGGTCTGAGTCTCCTCAGTGCAGTCTGGGGAGGTTTTTAGGGTCTGAGCGCCCCCAGAGTAGTTTGGGGAGGTTTTTAGGGTCTCCCTGCTACAGTCTGGGGAGGTTTTTAGGGGCTGAGTGCCCTCAGAGTAGTTTGGGGAGGTTTTTAGGGTCTCCCTGCTACAGTCTGGGGAGGTTTTCAGGTTCTGAGTCCCCTCAGAGTAGTCTAGGAAGTTTTTAGGGGCT